GTGTTTAAAAAAAAAAAAAAAAAAAAAAAAAAAAAAAAAATAATGGGAAAATGAGAGAAAATTGTAAATATTGCTTCTAACGACATCAGCGATACAGGCGACAATATCAGTTATGAAAAAAAATTGTATTAATTGGTGAGGTGAGAGGTGAGCTTATAAGGCATATAATATCGCGTAATAATAATAATAATAATAATGATGATGATAATAATAATGATGATAATAATGATGATAATAATAATAATAATAATAATAATAATAACAGGTTTTATAGGTTTGAGACCTTTTCTAAACTCACCAATACGTGTTCTCTGATTATGAATTCTTTAAACTTACTTCCTTCCTTCGCTTGCATTTAGCTTATAATTAGTAACACGATCAGTCGAAAATAGAGCTAAATCAACGCTTGTTTTCTTCGTGCTAATGGATAATCTATTGCAATATTAAAATTAGCACTCAAAATAAGAATTTCTAGGAAGTCGTAAAGTTTAGTAAAATCTTTCATTTATAAAACGTAATATATATTTGATATATATTTGGGTAAGTGAAAATCTTCATCGCCTCTCATAATGTTTAATGTTTAATGTTTAACAACGACCATAAATCCTCGATAAATACGTCAATGTAAATAATCATCTGCAATACAAACGGTATAATTTTAATAATTACTACGCCCATATTTATATTCTCAATATTTATTATAAGCTTCGTGACCAAGCCATCCATGTCCATAAAATCTTGTTTTATTAATCATTTATATTTACGCATTAACGTCAAGATCTTAATATTGATATAGTTTCGATCTGATATAATATTACGATTAAATTAAATTTTTTGAATATTAAATGTATAATGATGAATTATTTTTATGCCTATATTGTTAGCGTATATACTCAACTATTTTATAATATATAAGTTGGATTAAGAGGAAAAATATTTTAACGTTAAGCATGGCATAATTCCAAATTTCTATTCTATTACTACTACAAGTCATTACGACAATAAATTGTTGAATCTTTAATTTTCATTTAAGAATTATTAATTATATTAGTAAGCAAATGTACTTTTAGCCAGCCTATCCTACATTCAAATATTTACTTATTAAAATGAAGATAATATATATATATATATATATATTATATTATTTGTTAGTATATTGTCGAATGAATTTTCAATATTTTCAATAATTTTTCATCATCTAATAAAAAATATATAAAGAATACATATTTTATCGTATGAATATTATTTTGAGTGCTATTCGAAAAATTTCTTTCCATATATTTTGTTGAATTGACATTCTTTGACAGCCTGTGACTAAATTATAATTTCACACATAAAATTTTAGATCGTTTGAAAACTTTACCTCTATCTACCGACCCAATTACGATTAGAAATCTACATAATACGTATTAAAGTGTTTTTTTTTTTTTTTTTTTTTTTTTTTTGGCGACTATGCGTATGCGTATGGAACAAAAATTAATGCGAATGCGAGTGGCGTGAATTGTTTTGATGTTATTACCATTCACATAAATCAAAAATGTTATAAATTGAAAATGGGGCATTCAGTTTTTAGTATATCAATAATTAATTGGTTATTGCTAAATTTTTCTGAAATTATTTAATCGATGATAGGATAACACGATATTTAAAGGAAGAATTATTTTAATAATGGAATTTTTTTTGACGACAAATACAGTAGATAAACTTGTTTGCAAAAGTATTGCCTATTTCACTTAATTATTTCTTCCAATATACTAGAGTCATGTGTTATTTCACAAACTATTTCATATTATAAATAATAATTATTAATTTGAACACATTTTTGTTTAATTTACTTAATTATAAAAATCTCTATCGTTATATTACTTTTTTTCAAAAATAATTTTAACAAGAATTGATTTACTTATTTCAC